TATAAACAGTGAGAGAATTTTCCTAACATATCGTACCTAACGTATAAACTTGTGCTTACTGTATGAGTTGGAAAACTCTCACAGCGATTCAATTTGATGACTCTAGAAAATTGATAGAATCCTAGCTTCTTTCTGGATGTTAGCTCTTAAAACACAAACACTTATGCTAAGAGCAAAAACATGGAAAAGAGCTCGAGATTTATTCTTTTATCTCCCTAAGACAAAAGGCATGGGTATAAGAGCTCAAGATTTTTCCTAATAGTAGAGAAGTTGAATTGAGGAAATATTATTCCAAGTGTCATGCACTGATCTGATCCCTTTCAAGCACATAGTTGTAACTATGTTCCTTCACTCATACAAAAATAAAGATGTATTTTGATGTTGATCGGTGTCCAATTGCAGGACATGTATTTGCTTGTTTGAGTTTTAGTTTAGTTACAACATTCAATTATTTTCAGGATCAGCATCTTCAAGAATGTCAATTGTTAGAGCAACTCTTGGATTGGAACTCGGGGATGAAGATATGAAGCTCCTTGGGGAAAAAGGGGTGATCCCTCCTCTGCTTGAGATGGCATCTGGAAATATTGAATCAAAAGAACTGTCATTATCTGCACTTGTGAAACTATCAAGTTTTTATGGCAATAAGATACTTATAGCTGAGGCTGGAGGTGTTCCTATCATTTTAAAGCTAATGATTTCATCTCATGTACGTTCAGTTATTATCGCTAAGTGCTGTGAAGTTCTTGCTAATCTTTCTGGCAATGGTGATGGAGTTAAGTTCTTGATTGATGAAACTGGAAACCAGCTTGTACTAGAGCCTGTAATCGCATACTTGCTCGCTTTTCAACAGAATCTCACATCCTCGGACATTGTTCGTAGGCATGCTTTGCGTGCACTATTAGGAATCTGTCAATCTGAAGCTGGACTTGTCAAGTCAGCAGTTCTCTCTGCCGGTGGTGTTTCAGTGGTCCTTCCCCTTCTCGATGATTTGAACCAGGAAATAAGAGAAACAGCAATAAATCTTCTTTTCCTTTTCTCACAGCACGAGCCAGAGGGGGTCGTTGAGTATCTTCTTAAGCCAAGAAGGCTTGAGGCTTTAGTTGGTTTTCTTGAGAATGATAACAAAGGTGATGTGCAGATGGCTGCAGCCGGTTTACTGGCCAACCTTCCGAAATCAGAAACTTCACTCAGAGAGAAACTCATTGAATTAGGTGGACTGAAAGCCATTGTTAACATCTTAAAAACCGGAACAATGGAAGCTAAGGAAAATGCTCTCAGTGCCCTCTTCAGGTTCACAGATCCAACAAACCTCGAGTCTCAACGTAATGTGGTTGAACTTGGAACATATCCTGTACTTGTAAATATTCTCAAAGCTAATTCAATAACAGCAGAAGCAAGAGCAGCAGCACTCTTAACTGATCTATCAATGCGAAGTCATGAACTCAGTGTCGGATCCAAGAAAGCTTCTTGTTTCTGTATTGGCCGAGCACGTGCTCCTATCTGTCCTGCACACGGGGGTGCCTGTAGTGTGAGCAAAACATTTTGTCTGTTAGAGGCAAATGCATTGCCTGATCTGGTTAAACTTTTAAAAGAAAAGATACACGCCACGTCCTATGAGGCAATTCAAACGCTCTCTACTTTGGTTCGAGAAGAGTCTCCTCATAGAGGAGCCTATGTGCTGCACAAGGAGGATGCGATTTCACCAACAATAGAAGTTCTAAACTGGGGATCAGAATCTTTGAAAGGTGAAGCTTTAGGGCTGCTGGAAAAAGTATTTATGTCAAGGGAAATGGTTGATCTCTACGGGCCAACTGCTCGACTACATCTTGCGCGTTTAACAGGAGGTAGAATTTATGAAGATGGACATCTCCAAAGG